CGATTTCACAGATTTGGCCTTCACATTTGGATTCCTGTTTTACTTTTCCAATGTGTGGTGATACACAGGAGTTTAACATCTTTGCTTTGCACTGCTGTATTGCACATACCGTATTTTTCGCTGTATAAGACGCACTTTTTCTTCCCCAAAACTGGGGGGGAAATGTCAGTGCGTCTTATGGAGCGAATATGGAGCGGCCTGTCCGGTATTTCCACCGCGGCCGTGTCAGAATACCGGGCCAGCTGCTTAGCTCTGCAGCGGGACCTTACCTGTTCCTCTATCCAGCGGCGCACGCTGTCTTCCCGACTTCTGTAGTGTGGGCACTGGGCATGACAGCCGGGTGCCAAGTGCACATGTGCAAGAAGCGGTGCTTTTTGTGAATGGTAAGGCGGTACCTGGGACACATGACAGATCCCAGAAGCTGCCGGACCAATCACAAAGCGCAAGTGCTTCTTGCTCATGCGCACTGGGCACCCGGCTGTCATGCCGAGCGCCATTACAGAAGCCTGGAAGACAGCGCGCGGCTGGATCGAGGAACAGGTAAGATCAAACAAAAACTCTGCGGAAGTAAGAGCGGGTACCTGTCAAATTCAGGTACCCGCTCCCCACAGGTCAGCAGTCACCTGTGCTGTCCGCAGTCTCTGGTCATCCCTGTGCTGTCCGCAGTCTCTGGTCATCCCTGTGCTGTCCGCAGTCTCTGGTCATCCCTGTGCTGTCCGCAGTCTCTGGTCATCCCTGTGCTGTGTCCAGTCTCTGGTCATCCCTGTGCTGTGTCTGCAGTCTCTGGTCATCCCTGTGCTGTGTCTGCAGTCTCTGGTCATCCCTGTGCTGTGTCTGCAGTCTCTGGTCATCCCTGTGCTGTGTCTGCAGTCTCTGGTCATCCCTGTGCTGTGTCAGTCTCTGGTCATCCCTGTGCTGTGCAGTATCCCTGCAGTCCATTAGTTGTCAGTCTCTGGTTTTTTTGTTGCCCATTAGTTCAGAATTTTTTTTTCTGCTGCTCTAAAACCTAGGTGCGTCTTATACAGCGAAAAACACGGCACATCGTAATTTATCTTAGCGCTGCACTATTGTTTTGTAATGTAGGAATAGTAGTTGCCTGGCTGATCATTTGCATGCTCCAGATTAATTACCGAAAAGCTATGAAGCTACAGAAGTGAAAGTCAGAACTCCTGAACTCATCCCCGTTTCAGGTTCATAGCCAGGGGAAATAGCATTTTTAGAAGCAACGGCCTCCCCCATATTTTCTTAGTACAAGTTTACTTTAAAGTATAACTACTTCTAGTTCTACTTTGAGCAAAAGAACAGTAAACACCTAATAAAAACATATATGCAAATGCCTACACATCTACAAAATGTAGATAAACCATGATACTATATAAACTAAATGTTCTAGAACATTAGTCATTTTAGACTAACGGATTATAGTATCCTACAATGGGATCACTAGGCAGTAATCTGCGAGCAAAGTGCAGTAACTCGGAGAAAGCAGTCAAATTTTAGACTACTGCAGTTAAATCAATGATTGGGTAGGTTTATGTATATAAATATGTATCTTACTGGGTGCTCTGTCTCTAAGATCAAGTTCCAGTGGAAGGTGAATGTGTCAGAGGTGAGGAATTTGATGGTGTGTGCGCCACTTGCTGCAACCAAGATGGCGCAATGGAGTGTCTCTGCCACTTGCTGCAACCAAGATGGCCCGATGGAGTGTCTCTGCCACTTGCTGCAACCAAGATGGCCCAATGGGAGTGTGTCTGCCACTTGTCGCAATAAAGCTGGCCCGATGGAGTGTCTCTGCCACTTGCTGCAACAAAGATGGCCCGATGGGAGTGTCTCTGCCACTTGTTGCAATAAAGCTGGCTTGATGGAGTGTCTCTGCCACTTGCTGCAACAAATATGCCCCAATGGGAGTGTCTCTCCATTGGGCCATCTTTGTTGCAGCAAGTGGCAGACACACTCCATCGGGCCATCTTTGTTGCAGCAAGTGGTCAGAGACACTCCATTGGGCCATCTTTGTTGCAGCAAGTGGAAGTGTCTCTGTCACTTGCTGCAACAAAGATGGCCCGATGGAGTGTCTCTGCCACTTTTTACAATAAAGCTGGCTTGAAGGCATGTTTAGAGTGGTGTGCGGCCTCACATTTAGGATGGTCGTGTTCAGTATAGCTTTATGATTCCACAGCCTAATGTTAAGTTAAAAGATGCCTGTGGCCCCCCCCCCCCGGCAGCATGTGACAACATTCAAATTGTCAGGAAATAAGAAATAAACATCTTTGACCCTTAATTACCAGGGAGTATCAAAAAAACACCATGCTGGGATTTCATTTATGTGAAAATCAATTTATTATAATTGTGACAAAAAAAGGGAATGCCTAACAGTGAATCTTAACCTTGCCAAGCAATCCCTGCAGGATAAAACACGTACCATTCAAGAATTATGCAAAAAAGGGGGAAGGGGAAAAGCCATTAACAGGTTGTATAAATAGGTGCAAGTTAAAAAAAGGTTCTTAAATCGGTATTCCAAGTTCCAAAGCATTGTGGTTGACCGTTCTTTACAGAACAGATGTGCAAGTAGGAAAATATGCCTGCTATGAATGCAGTGCAGGTGCCAATTTGCAAGTGGAGTCAATATTCGACCTAGCAAATCACTGAAAAATTCTATTCTCTAGGCATTTCTAGTGAATAGATTGGTTTTACTTTGATAAAAGGCATCCTATTTGTGGGCAAATGCCACATTTACAATTTTAAGAGCCAGGTCCTTTTAAAAAGGAGCTAGTCTCCTTTAGTACCTGTTTAGGAAGAGGCCTTGGTCAAACCCTGCACCACCTAACAGTCCCAGGGCAGGCACCTTTACTGACGCTGCACACCGCATCCAGAGAATTTAATAACCTAGGTTCAGTCAGGTAAAAAAAAAGGGATCAACAGAGTCCTTTTAGTGTCTGCTGCTGTGTCGCAGGGCAAAACAAAAAAGTGAAAAACCAAACATCTGTCTCATTGGTGATGGCCAACATACCAACTACACTGGCAACAAAGAAAAAGGATGTCAAGCGTACTAACAGGTCCTCTTGAGAATCCTCATAATACACTTTGCTTTTGACTCGCAAGGTGATGCAAGTTTAAATATTCACGGTGAATATTTCAGGACACGGAGACCCCTAAAACGTCATCTGTGGACAGTTGTTAGAACAAAAACCTTACAGTGGTTTAAAAAAAAAAAAGTGCTGGTTAAAGTTATACTGTGGAGAGGATCAGTTTATCTAATTCACCATTTAAAACGTATCTTTTCAAAAAATGTTTGGACAAAAAGGTTTGTCTTTTTAAGTCATTGCACATTCTTGTTGTCAAAAGATAATCTATAGCACAATAATTCTATGAAAGGAAAAAAAAAAAAAAAAAAAAAAAAAAAAAAAAAAAAAACACAAAAAAGTGGCTTAATGATGACATTTAGAGTAAACACGCATGAAGAGGAGTTAAGAAACATCATTACTTTTCTTTTAAAATAGGATTTTTGTACTCACCATAAATTCCTTTTCTTGGGAGTCCATTGAGGGATGCAGGAAGTCACCTACAGGAGGGTTGGACTCCAACAAAAAATAGTAGGCCAACCCAGAATAACCCTTCTACTATCAGCATGCCTCGGTTTTGTAGCAAGCAGTACCACAGGCATGACCACAGATAGGTGGAACTTGAGTCCCTCAATGGTTTTCCAAGGAAATAATTTTGCAGTGGGTCAATTTTTTTTCATCCATTGAGGGACATAGGATGTATTTCACCTTTGGGAAATCCAAAAGCAGTCAAAGACTGAAGGATGGACAACACCGCAAACAGTCAAAGTGAATAGAAAAAAAAAAAAAAAAAAAACGATGGGGGACTACCAACGGCTCAAGAGCAGCTTGTAAGATCTTACATCTGAAACTGGCATCAGAGGAGGCCTGAATATACGTCTGGTAGATAAAACCAGGTGGCAGACCTGCATTGAAAACCCAATACATGATGCCAGAAAGGTCAAGAACATTCAAAAGCAGTGATGTATGTTTTGACAAGGAAAGGAGAAATCTACCATAAGACCAATCTTGGAAGCTGGTTCAGGTGAACCAAGATGAGAAACTGAATTACCCTACAGGGTCCATCACAAGAGGACCAAAAAAAGAGAATCTCAGAAGCAAGAAAAAAAGCTCTGAGAACTAGAGCCGGACAGAAGAGGACATCTCTAGTTAAGATGATCAGAAACTGTCCTAAGACAAAAAGGAAAAGAAAAATACCAGTAAGAAAAAAAGGTTAGTCTTAACAGCAGAGCTGAAAAAAAAAAAAAAAAGTCCGTCCTCCCAGGACAACAGCCAAAAATGAGACCTTTTCGGCAGGAAGAGGGGTTACCCTGGTCTGGCCTACAATTGTTTGCAAAAGTTCAATCCTCCTGTAGGCCACAGTATAATCTGAAGGTGAATGACTTCCTGTGCCCCTCAACAGGCGAGATACATTGGTTTTAGGCTTGCAGCTCTCCGGCTGGGGGAACCCAAGTCCCATCATGCACCTGGTCTGGACACCTTTTAAAGATACTTCTAATTCCTTAGTATTTGGCTGTACTTAAGCTGTTTTACTTCTTTTAGCAACAGATGTCAATCCTATCAACACATTCTCTAGTATTCTTTAGTCAACACGCTGCCATGAAGACAATGACACCTAATAGGATAGTCTGAAAGTATATTCAATGGGTGGAAACTAAAAAGGCACATTTTTTTTTTTTTAAAGAAGGTCTAATAAATGGATCTCAGCAGCAAAAATAATGGCACAAGCTAGACTTCTGCCCTTGCCTCTAGTGCTGAATTCTGTTTCCTAAAAAAAACAAAAAAAAACAAAAAAAAAAAACAAAAAAAAAAAAAGGAAAAAAAAATGCCCAAGACAGCAGCAGTAACTGTTCCATGGTGCTCTGTCCCTTGTGTGTGGTGAATTGACAGGAGGCTTGTGTCTGTGTCTTGAACAAAGAAGGCACTAAGGTAACACGGTGCCTATTTTCCTGGGTCTCGAAGGTCCATGCTGGAACCAAACAATGCCACCAATTGCTCCTCATAATGTGTGATGTTTCTCTTCATAATGTCCATGCAGGGGCCCAGCAATCGTTCAAAAGCTTGCACATCCATGACTAAAAAACAAAACAAAAAAAACACTTAATGGCTATTCAAACAAAAGCTGAAAACTATGGAAAATGCCAGTAAATTCATAAAAGGCAACGTTCCCACCATATTCTTACAGCAGGCATGTCCAAAGTCCGGCCCGGGGGTCGGTTTAATACGGCCCTCCAACAGCCCTCCCTGGTCTGTGTAATGTGGCCCTCCCTTCTATGGCAGACAGTCTTTTGCTTGAGAGCAGAGGGCAGTGCGCATGCCTGACTGCAGCGCATTCTCCCTGGTCTGTGTAAATGCGGCTGTCGCACGGCCCTCCCTTCTGTGGCAGACAGTCTTCTGCTTGAGAGCAGTGCGCGTGCGTGACTGCGCCGCGCTGGGAGCGACAGAGGGCGGCGACGTCAGGGCCGGGCTTCCAGCGTGAAGTGTGTTTCTCTTCCCCTCCCGGCTGCCGAGCAGAGACTTCAGCTCCAGCTACCTTTTTCACCCTTCACATTAGTGCAGGTAAGTTTTTTTTAAATTTATTTTCAATACATTGTGAAAACTCAGCTGTCAGTTGATCTTAATGTTATGAAATGAAAAGTATGTCGTTTGCAATTAACTTGGCATAAAATAATTTATTTGCATTTAATTGTAATGGTTCAAAGAATGTTCGGAAAAATGTTCGGCCCTCCACCATGTTCACTTCATCCAATCTGGCCCTCTTTGAAAAAAGTTTGGACACCCCTGTCTTACAGTATATGAAAAAACCCTCACATTGTAAAACAACCCATTCAGTTTAAAAGTAAAAAGCAAACATTGTGCATACATATAAAAAAGCATTATAAATACATTTTTTCCCCCTTTTTAAGTGATTACATACCCTCTGTTCTCAGCTGCATAAGGAGCTCAGAGCTGGGGGAGAGGAAAAATAGCACACTGATCTTCCCAGTGAATGGCTGTGCAGTGGGATCATGTCTTATCAATAGATTAGCTCCAAGCACAGCCAGAAATTTGACCACGCCACGCTCGCATGCCAGTGTGGTCAGTTTTTATTAGAAAAGCAGAGGGACTGGCAGGAACACCAAGGATTTCACACAATGGAAGCAATACAAAGAACAGGAGACTTATTCATACAAGGAATACAGCAGGCGCATAGCAGGAATAAGAAATGTTGAGTTTACATACTCCAAAAATATACTTGTATGGACAAAAGTATGTCAAGACACCTCCAAAATTACCACATTCAAGGGTTTAACCCCTTCACGCCGGTGCCTCCCGGCCCTTTAAGGGTTCCAGAAGCCGGGAGGCGGGGTTTAGGGTCATGTGACCTCCGTGACACGCCTTCAGGGAAAGGTCCTGATCAAAAGAGGAGATCGGGATCTTTCCGTGAGTACCGAACATGTGTGCTGGGAGAGCGCAGGGCGCGTGCTCTCAGCACATATGTCCTTTTTTAATAGAACGCAAATGTGAGGCCGCTCGGCGTCTAGGCCCAGACACCGGGAGGCCGCACATTTGTGTGTGGCCAGCGTAAAGAGGTGAAGTTGCAAGCATGCATTTTTTAGCTCAGGCACTAATACTGGATGAGACTCACAATCAGTATTTGCAACGCCTGTCACCCACAACCTTCGAAACGCGTCAGCCTCACTTTGAGAGTCTACCCTCGTGACGCGACTCACACTGGCTCTACACTCCCTCGTTCCTTTGAGGATCTGTAATGCTTGTTTTACTTCCTTGTTTGTGAGCATATATTTTATTCGAATAAAATCACAAAATTACTGAGGTAATGCACCCAAAGCCACTCCCGTCACAGTCCCCCTTCGAAACGCGTAAATCACAGATTTACTGAGGTATTGCACAAGGTTGGTGCGCTCTTTTTTGCTTCACTTCACAGTGTCACCCACAACACTCTGATATACGCCATATGGCTAAGCCTGGGGACATCTGACCGTCAAATCATTATGGGCTTGTTGGGACATTCCATTCCAACACCGCGGGCATTAACATGGATACTGCAGCCTCTACGTTCCTGAAAAAGGTTTCCACAACTGTCTGAAGAGTGTCTGTGGGCATTCTATTGAAAGAACATTTGTGAGGTCAGGTACTGATGTTGGATTAGAAGACCTGGCTGATAATCGGCATCCCAATTCATCCTAAAGGTGCTCAGCGGTGTTGAGGTCAGGGCTTTGTGCAGGACACTCTAGTTTCTCCACAGCAGACTCCTCAAACCAAGTCTTTATGGAGCCAGCTTTGTGTACATAGGCACAACCATACTGGAACAGAAAGGTCCATTACTGGAACAGAAAGGTCCATTACTGGAACAGAAAGGTCCATTACTGGAACAGAAAGGTCCATTACTGGAACAGAAAGGTCCATTACTGGAACAGAAAGGTCCATTACTGGAACAGAAAGGTCCATTACTGGAACAGAAAGGTCCATACTGGAACAGAAAGGTCCATTACTGGAACAGAAAGGTCCATTACTGGAACCATCCATTACTGGAACAGAAAGGTCCATTACTGGAACAGAAAGGTCCATTACTGGAACAGAAAGGTCCATACTGGAACAGAAAGGTCCATTACTGGAACAGAAAGGTCCATTACTGGAACAGAAAGGTCCATTACTGGAACAGAAAGGTCCATACTGGAACAGAAAGGTCCATACTGGAACAGAAAGGTCCATACTGGAACAGAAAGGTCCATACTGGAACAGAAAGGTCCATACTAGAACAGAAAGGGATATTCCCCAAACTTGCACTGAGGTTGAAGCACACAATTTGCCTGAAATATCTGTTTACTGTAGCATTAATTGTACCCTTCACTGGGAACACCTGAACTCCGTATGGAGGGGTGTTCACATTTTGGCCATATAGTGTACATGTAGGATGCAACAAGTAGCTGAGCAAGAACCAAGAACTTTATGGAAAGATCCCAAAAAGATGACCTGCTAAGAAGCTGATCCAAGGTGTTATTGGTTGTTTGACTCTCCTGCGAAACTGTGTCACAGGCAGGCATTCACCAGAACACCTTACCTCACTATGAGAAATTTAAACTACAACTACCTGGGAAAAAAAAAAAAGATGGAAACTGTATTTCATCATCGATATGTGTAAAGAGAACACAAAATGCATACAAGTATAATATTTAATAAAAGTAAAGACAGCTGCAGATGACAATTTTAGAAACTATAACAAGAATACTTAACTAAAGATGCTGTTTCCACCGCGGGTCCCGCCATGATGGCCTGGCACAGATCAGGATCAGACGCATGCCTCATGGCAGCTATGGGGTGAGACAGCTACTGCGGTCTAGGTTCTAGCTTTGTTATATAGGACTTGTGTGTAAGGAATGGCCAACTCCCCTTGTAAGCAATATGATCTTTGAAGGACTTTGTCAGTTTGCAATGATATTCCTTTGGTAGGAGTCAGCTAAGGTAACCAGACTTTGTCCTTTGTATGGCCCCCCTCAAGCAGGTATTGAAATCATTATCCGGTATTTGTGAGAACACTAGACAACTTTAACAAAATATGCAATTTCCCTATCACTGTCAGGAGCAGATTTAAAAAAAAAAAAAAAAAAAGAAAAGAAAACAGAAAGAGAAGGTCATTAAAGTGATCCTGTCACGGCTGGACAAGTCCCTTAAAGAATGCGTTGCCCCATAATTTCAATCTCTTGATATATGCCTATTGTACCAGGTACTCATGTTAAAAAGTCTCCTGTTCTCTATGTATTGCTTCCTTTTTGTGAAATTTCTGGTGTTCCTGTCCCTGCCAGTCCCTCTGCTTTCCTATTTCAAACTGACCACACTAGAAATGGTAGCTCTTCCATCCCAGTGGTCAGTTTTCTGGCTGTGCTGGGAGCATAGAACTGTGGCACAGAAGCCAGTGAGAGGACCTACAGGGCACAGCACAAGAGTAGTATTCTACATTTCTGAACTGTCAATGTCTGTCTGAAGATTCTTCTGTTTACTGCAGTCCACAGCAGCCAGTAATAGAAGACTACAAGTTCCTCAATGCTGGAGCGCAGCTTTATGTTAATTTTTTTTGCAGAAGAGCTGTTGGAATGATTATTACCTAAACACTTGACATTGTCCACCGCATACGCAGAAGCTGCTCTGGGCTTGTTGGTAACAAGAGCAAGTTCACCAAAGTATTGACCTCTTTTACACCGTGTTAGCTCCACTTCCTGGTTACTTTCTTGACCAGTTTTTGTCTGAAAAATAGAGAAAAGTTAGTTCTTGAAAGCTGAACTCCAGCCTTCCCTTCAAGTCTTGCAGTTTTACAGGGTATACTGCAATGGATTACTCTGATTTCACTGCACACTGAGCTTCTCATAACGTGCAATAGAAGTTGGAGCAAATCGGAGGATTGTCTAGCACTTTCCTCTTCTTGCCTGACTGTCCCTGGTCCACCTGCTTCATTCATTCATTGTATTTCTGTTCTTTCACCCTAGCGTCACATCTGTGTACGTGGATCCGCACGAAAATCCGTGCAGCTGCACCACCCGCACAGAGAAATGCAGACCCGCGGGTGGGTGCCATTAGTTCTAATGGCACGCCGCCCACACTGGGAACCGAGGTTGCCGTGTGGGCTGCGTTTTCCAAAGAAGTGCAGGGACTTCTTCCCTGTGTCCCCCAGGGCACGGGAGTCCATTTGAAATGAATGGGCTCTCATGCCCGAGCAAAACGCGGCCCGCACGGTCGCATAGGTGTGAAGCAGGGGTCAATCAGAGGCTCATCATCTCATTTGTGCACAAACAAGATACATAGCTCCAGGTCGGTCTGCCTGTCCTCTAGCCCTGAATCCAGCAAAAGGTGCTGGTCCAGCTTGCAACCCAATAAACTTCAAGCGAAAAGGGGATGACAACACACTCGTGTATAGAAAATCCAGACTCTTTATTGAAAATCGCCCAATGGTCAAAACTAGGGTTGCACCAATACCGGTATAGCTGCAAATACTGAGCATTTGTATGAGTACTTGTATTCGTGCTATTGCTCCGATACCTAGAACTGATATTTGTGGTGCAATTTGAGTCAATACAAAATGAATGGGCTCAAACTGCATTGCAAAGAATCCTGTCAATATTGCATGCGGTTTTCCCGCATTGCTCCTGTGTGCACTCAGGCTTGTCATAGTAACTTCAGCTTGGGTTCACACAGGAGCAGTGGGGGGGGGGGGGGGGAGAAACTGCATATGATTTGGACAGGAATCGCACCGTATTCCTGGTCAAATCACATGCGATTCTTTGCAGTGCGATTTGAGCACAATCATTTTGTATCAATTCAAATTGCATCGCAAAGATAACCGGTAATTGGGATTGAGTACTTGCCAGTAAAAAAAGAAAAAACGGTATCAGTGCTATCCTGTTCGCCCTGTGCATACTATGATGTTTTAATTGATTTCAATAGTGTCTCTGGATTTTCCATACACAAGCGTGCAGTCATCCACTTTTACTTGAATCTCATTTGTGCAGTCAAATCTGTGCGCCTGCATACGTGACAATAGGGCTTGGTCAGGATCTGAAGGCAGTGCAGAGCCATTCAGCACATGGCAGAGCCAGAAGTGAGAGAACTGAAATTGCTTTGAGTGAAAACTATTAAATGACATCCAAGTGATAATATTCAGGCCTGGCACCATACTATGCAAGGCAGTGTGCACATTACACACACTTTTTATAATATATATTAATCACTTCAATCCCAGGCACTTATACCCCCTTCCCGCCCAGGCCAATTTTCAGCTTTCAGCGCTGTCGCACTTGGAATGACAATTTCGTGGTCATGCAACACTGTACCCATATGAATTTTTTTAATATTTTTTTTTCACAGAAATAGAGCTTTCTTTTGGTGGTATTTAATCACCGAGTTTTTTGATAAAACAAAAAACACCTGAAACTTTTGAAAAAAAAAAAAAAAAAAAAAAAAAAAAAAAAAAAAAAACAACGCACTTTTCTTATTTGTTATAAAACTTAGCAAATAAATAACATTTCTTCATAAGTTTAGGTCAAAATGTATTCTGCTACATTTTTTTGGTGAAAAAAAATTATTGAATTTGTATTTTTTTTTTCAAATGTTTCTACATTTAATTTTTTCTTTTTTTTTACTATTTTTATTTTTCAGCACACTGTGACCAAAGCAATACAATTTTACCATAGTAACATTGAACTACTCTGGGCAAGTGATCAGGATTTTTAATTTTTAACACATTATGATTGCCAATACCAATATATTTCATTGATATTTGCAGTCGTTGCTGAATTAAACTGATTCAGTCTCTTGTTGTGATGAGCTGTGAGCTTATCATGATACAGATGGGCCATGATTGGCCCTGTCTGTATCATGTGACTGCCTTGACCAGTCACAGCTAACATAATTGTATACAATGGATGGCATGACAGGAAGCCATCCATTATATACCATTGACATGTGATCTGCTGTGATTGGTCACAGCGGTCAGATGACACTGGCTACAGGCCGGTGTAGCGATATGTCATCGGCTGTGTCCCGTAGACACAGCCGGTGACAGATCGCGCCACTCTCTACGCGCTGGCTGCGTGAGCAGCTCCTTTTGACAGAAGGTCATATGACGCCCAGTCACAACAGCAAGTGTTAAAAAATCTGTCTGTGTGTAAATGGGATGCAGCATAGTAAAGGGGGAACCATGACAAACCAGAGATAAATAAAAGGACAACAAAGGAAACCTGGACTTTTCAAACCAAGTTGGAGTTTTCCAAATCTGGAAACCACTTACCTTACTCTTCATCATAATTTTCACCTCTCCTGATTCAACAATGTAAAAACAGTCTGCCTTATCACCCTAGGGAGGCAACAGAAATACAAGTCAAATACAGGCCCAATAAAACACATCTGTTAACCCTTGTGAATATAAAGCAGCGAAAATGAAATGAAACTTACCTGTCCAATGATGCGATCTCCATCCTTATAAATTTTTTCACCTATTACATCAACTATTTTCATACGTTCAGAAAGCTATAATAGATTAAAAAAATAAAGTTTACAGTCCAGTCAATATCCTTGGTATAATCACAAGAAATCTATGATTTGGTAAACCATGAATAAAACATGAATTTGTTACATTGGAAATCCACTTATTAAAAGAATTATACAGAAAAAAAAAAAAAAAAAAAAACTTTGATTTGGATGGGTACAGGAGATCTGAATTAACTGCTGACTTTTTATCTGTCTTTAGCCGAGACATTTACTGACAGCAGATCGTACCTTTGATGCCTCCCACATGCCTATCTGCAAGCAGTGCAAGCTTTACTGATTGCAGAGGTATAGGACAGACCCAGCAGTGTGCAAGTTGGACTGCTGCAGAGAGACCACTGCTTCCTCAGATACCAGCAAGATGGCGGGAGGTAGGCATTTCTGCTATGACCAATTTAAAAGCCAAGACTTTGGCTACCCACTGTTTTTTTTAGGAACACTGAAAGAATTTACCCGATTTAACAGAAAAGTTTGGTTTGGCTTTAAAGCCGAACTAGACAACCAAAAGTACGCTCCTCCACCCTCCACCGATGTGGCGGTTACATCCCTCACCAGCTAAACGCCCGTATGCAAAGAACTTGGAGCGCCACTCCAAGCACTACAAAGCCTCCCCCAGCAGTCCAAAGCACAAAATGGGCACCAGTACTCAAACAAGCTCATCCAGGGTAGCAGAAGAAAATCATAAAACAAACGGTGGAAATGCCGCAAACCAGACCCAGCGACTACACAGATAATACGACAGACTATATGACATAAAAGATGAAGATATGACTTCAGCCTTAGCTCCTCCTGATTAGACTCCTCCAACATGTTTTGCCCCACCCAAGGGGCTTAATCAGAGTCTCATATGTCTCTGATTAAGCCCTATGGGTGGGGCAAAACATGTCGGAGGAGACTAGACAGGAGGAGCCAAGGCTGAAGCCACATTTTCATCTTTCTGTATATTGACTGGGCACTGGTGGGCAGCATTTCCACTGTCTGATTTGCCTCACTGGCTGCTGTCATCTTCTCCCAAGCTTCTTCCGGGTGCTAGGTTTGCAGCCTCTTGTTTGACTACTGTTGGTATGTGCGGGATGACATCATTCCACTGCCAGCCATTCTGGCACAACCTGAGTATGACTGGAGTACACACTGAGCTGCGCGGCAAAATGTGCATTCAATACAGAACTGTGAGAAGGCAGGTAAGTGTTTGTTGCATTTTTAATAGTCAAGTTTAGTTTCACTTCAAGTTCATCCTGCAAGTTGCAATTAAAAGTCTCACCTCTAATGACTTCAGAACAGGAACAGATTCTACAAAGGCTTCAAACATCTTTCTTTTTTTGGCATTATTTTTAAGAATTATTCTTCTGAAGGTAACCCGATCCTGAAAACACGAAAGACAGTCATTCATTTGGAAGAGTAATTCAAGGAAACTGCAGTAAGTAAAAAAAAAAAAATCTGTTGACAACCTAAGAAATCAGGCTTACACTGGGGAAGGGGGAGGGGTACACCTGGGAGAGTAGGAAAAAAAAAAAAAAAAAAAAACCTCTGCCTTGACATATGTGAGAACTTCCACTTCTTACAGTCTTTTTTATAAACAAATTGCATTCCTACTTCAGCACAGTTGCCCATTTAGGGTGAATTTACATTTGGTATGATACATGTCACTTGTTAGGGTTTACATGCACTTCCTACTAACAGAACCATACTATTGGCAGTTCCCACGTCTGACAGTAGATGGCATAAGTATTCCACACATATAAAATCTGAAATAATTGTCAAACAAGGAAGGATATTTGTTTTACACACACAGTACACTGGGGAGGACAGAGCTATGGGAATATCCCTGGTAATATCAAAATATTGCTGGACTTGTACAGCGTTGCTGTAGGCTGTGCCATAGATGACCCCGAGTTACAAAAGAAAAAGAAAAAAAAAAAAAGAATCCTGCAATGCAGCAGCAACAACAGTCACAATGATATAAACTTAGATTGTAAGCTCCCAGGATCAGGGCCCTCCTATCCCTCTTGTATTGAACTGTATTGTTGCTGTATTGTCTCCCGTTGTATATTGTAAAGTGCTGAGCAAACTGTTGGCGCTATATAAATCCTGTATAATAATAATATATATAAATCCTGTATAATAATAATATTTATATTATATTATAATAATTATCAGGATTTATTATATATATATATATTATATTATTATTTAATATATTATATTATATCCTGTATATATTATATATATATTATATTTATATATACTAATAATAATAATTATATTATAAATCCTGTACAATAATAATATATATAAATCCTGTATAATATATATATAAATCCTGTATAATAATAATAATATCCTATTATATATAATAAATCCTGTATAATAATATATATAAATCATAATAATAATATATATTCCTGTATTATATATATATATCCTGTATAATAATAATAATATATATAAAATCCTGTATAATAATAATAATATATATAAATCCTGTATAATAATATAATATATATATAATAATATAATATATATAAATCCTGTATAATAATAATATATATAAATCCTGTATAATATTTAATATATATAAATCCTGTATAATAATATATAATAAAATCCTGTATAATAATATAATATATAAATCCTGTATAATAATATAATATATAAAATCCTGTATAATATAAATCCTGTATAATAATATAATATATATAAATCCTGTATAATAATAAATATATATAAATCCTGTATAATAATATATATATATAAATCCTGTATAATAATATAATATATATAAATCCTGTATAATATATAAATATATAAATCCTGTATAATATATATATCCTGTATAATATATATATATATAAATCCTGTATAATAATATAATATATATAAATCCTGTATAATAATATAATATATATAAATCCTGTATAATAATATAATATATATAAATCCTGTATAATAATATAATATATAATAATCCTGTATAAAATATAATATATATAATCCTGTATAATAATAATATATATATCCTGTATAATAATAATATATATAAATCCTGTATAATAATAATATATATAAATCCTGTATATAATATATATATAAATCCTGTATAATAATAATATATATCCTGTATAATATATATATATATAAAATCCTGTATAAATATATATATCCTGTAATAATAATATATATATAAATCCTGTATAATAATAATATATATAAATATATAAAATCCTGTATAATAATAATATATATATATAAATCCTGTATAATAATAATATATATATATCCTGTAAATAATAATATATATATAAATCCTGTATAATAATAATATATAATAAATCCTGTATAATAATATATATATATAAAATCCTGTATAATAATATATATATATATATAAATCCTGTATAATAATATAATATATAAAAATCCTGTATAATAATAATAATATAAATAAATCCTGTATAATAATAATAAATAATAATATATATAAATCCTGTCCTGTATATAATATAATAATAATAATAATAATAATATATATATATAAATCCTGTATAATAATAATAATATATATATATATCCTGTATAATAATAATAAAAATATATATAAAAATCCTGTATAATAATAAATATATAAATCCTGTATAATAATAAAATATATATATAAATCCTGTATATAATATATATATAAATCCTGTATATATAATATAAATCCTGTATAATAATAATAAAATAATAATATATAAATATGAAATCCTGTATAATAATAATAAATATAAATCCTAATATATAATAATAATATAAATCCTGTATAATAATATATATAAATCCTGTAATAATAATAATAATCCTGTATATATAAAATAAATAAATCTGTATAATAATAATAATATATATATAAATCCTGTATAATAATAATATATATCCTGTATAATAATCCTGTATAATAATAATAATATATAAATCCTGTATAATAATATATATAAAATCCTTGTATAATATATATAAAATCCTGTATAATATATAAATCCTGTATAATAATAATAATATAAAATAATATTATAAACGGAATGCCACTGTAAGTGGACAGAAGGAGAGACAGTCGTGGATGTATTGATAATGCAGTGAATAATTTTAACCAACAGTTCACTGGTGAAGAAAATAAATAAAATGAATATAATTGAGGCCTCTTGCAGGCTGCTGCCTAAAAATGCAGAATTTTTAGGCCCCTTTCACACAGGCGGACTTGATCGGGTCCACCTCCCCATTTTTTAGGCGGACCCGATCAGACCATCCATTGCCCTCTATGGGGCTGCGGATGTGAACGGACCTGTGTCCATTTACACCTGCCAGCATACGATCTAATCCACTAAAAACAGACAAATGGGGATCAGAAATCTGTGTTCCCGGTCAGTATTTTAATGTACCTACACCACACTGTATTGATTAGAATACGGGTAATTGCACAAAGTACTGATGTATGACCATCAGACATTCTTGGCAGAAAAAAAATAAGCAAATAATGCGCTGTATAGCACTTGTGCATATACATGCGCAAGAAATGCTCTAGCTTTTTTTTTGTGTATAAAAGAATACAAATACTGACCATCAATGCAGAATACATTTTTTATTTTCCCTTACTCACTATATACAGGGAATGTTTATGTGTCTAAGCACCTGTGCATATTGAAAACAATGGTCTGCATTTACTTCAGAAAGAAAAAAAAAAAAAAAAAGGAGGGATACTACTACCAAGGAATGCATTACATATAAAAAAAAAGTTTAGGCTTTATAACCACTGGGTTCTGATCTGTGGAATGTGCCATTGCATTGCAGTAGGGCAGCCCATTCAGGCCTCTTATCAGTATTAAGCTTCAAAATTGTGCTTCTTTTATTTTGCTGCCCCAAAACGCACAGTATTTTGGCATTTGAGCATGCCCGCAAAACAAAAAACAAACAAAATAAAACTAAGGATGCACAATTTGCCTTGGATTCCTGCATCACACAAGTGTGAACAGTCTTCCATTAATAGGAATCACATACAACAAATGCCAGGATAACAAGCAGGTGGTGCTGTTTAACCACAAGTTACCAATGACTTCCACTTAAAGGGTAAGTTCACCTTTATAGAAAGTAATACGCAGATATATTTGCTGGAAAAGATCATTTTTTTCCTGCTGCAGCAGACTGGAAAGCTTTGCACCCATGATCAGTGGACCTTTCTGCCCATACCTTCATACGCGGGCTGTCTGTTGAAAGCTGCAGGGCTCGTCAATGAATTACAAAAATGTTCAACTGCCAGGGCGCTGATCATTCAGAACTACAATAAAAAGGTAGTACAGCGCTAAAATGATGGATGAAAGGCTAATAACATGAAAAACGCACACACTAGATAGGTGCGTTGTGTCTGAAAGAATAAAACTACAAAGATACCCATATAAACCTATTGAAACCAACTGGGATGTTGATAACAAATGTGAAAATAGGCATACCCCTTTTGATAATGTGCTCTTAGTACGAAACGCGTCAAGGAGGAGCCCCTGCAAGCCGTTGACGTCTTTGCCACCGGGTCACGGAGATCCGGTGGCCACCCCATGACACCAGCTGCATTTTAATTCCTTAGCGGTTCCTGGCGCATTTTCTAATACCTGGAAGAGGTCGAATCATTTTCGTATGGGCTTGTCCTGTTACCTTGTCATCTAAGGAAGGTCACCAACTCCCAGGCTGTTTTTTGGATCACCCATGTGAAGGGACCCATGATTGATTTACTACATTATATACAACGTGCTTTTCCATAGCGCATCTGGTGAGTATGCATTTTTTTTTTTTTACACAATATTGGCATATGCACCCATGAACTGTCTGCACACTGGGACCCTATTACTCTATGATTTCTAGCTCATGTCATCTCACAACTTGGATGCATTCCAGGCTCATGCGTTTTGCATCGTCATTTTCATACAGATTTGGACTACTTTCATTTCATATATGACTACTGTGTATCTAGGAATATAGTGTGTTGTTCATGATACGAACGCATTTATTTGATACGCTATTATCTTATACCTTGATGGGGTGCGTTTTGTATGGTCATACATTTGTTATCAACATCCCAGTTGGTTTCAATAGGTTTATATGGGTATCTTTGTAGTTTTAATCTTTCAGACAACGCACCTATCTAGTGTGTGCGTTTTTCATGTTATTAGCCTTTCATCCATCATTTAAGTGCTGCACTACCTTTTTATATTAAAAGGTATACCATATGCCTTCAAAAATTCTAAGTGTTTCAGCTGCTTTAGCATCTATTAGCGCTCGCTTTAATCCTTTGTTTTGTATAGTATTCAGAACTACAAGCCACTATCCACGGTGGCTGAC